TCAGAACTCAACTTTTGAACAATAAAATATCATTTTCGGAATCAGAATCAAAAACTGAGTCGATTGATATGTATTTCGTAAGTTTTAATTGATTTTCAATTTTGAGTGAAAATCTCGGTAATTTTTTTTCAACATGAAAATTCGAAAAAAATCAAAGTAGTCAGATAGGATAGACATTTTGAAATCTCGTCAAAGATTTTGAAAGTTTTTGATGGCTCACAGTATTTTGCAATTTTCTTCCCAAAGAAAAGGTTTTTTTGAACTTTTAAGGTCATATTCGTGATCAGCATGAAATTCTACATCAGAATATGTACCTTCTGTTGAAAAACAAAAACCGCTCGAATTTTGCATTGTGTGCACCTTATATTCCTATGATACTTCTCAGGTTGATGGAAACTGGCATTTAACAGCCATTATATCGGCTAAATCACGTAGTTCTACTACCAGAGTGTGAGTGCATTACTATTTTTGATCTTTTTGTTTGTATTATAGGATGAAGAGGAAAGAATCTAGAAATAGGAGGGACGTCTCACTTTATAGCTAAAAGTGTGCTCTTCGAAATCCACTCTATGATCAATTCGATTCTCTCAATCTTCTTTCCATCATGATTAAAATACAGTAAGCTTAAAATTAAAACCTTCTTTTTCCCGCGAATATTAGCATTTCGATTACAGAGCAAAGAAGATTGGGTGAATCGAATTGAGCATAGAATAAGACATCATGACTAGTATAAATGACACTGGTTTTCCTAAAGAAATTTAGAATTTTTCTCTTCTTTAATTGTACGAGTCATAGAAACTTGTCTCAAGGAAGCATCTATAGTTCTGGGGTTAGTGCAGATGACAGTACCTCAGGTATTAGAAGACATTGAATGCAAAAATTGATAAATAGTATTTGTGAAGGCAACATTTAAAAAGAAGTCATACCTAGAAAACATCGATAAAAGTGACAATTAACTAGGAATTAATGTGTAACACTGGCCTTAAAACTGTTAGTATTAAATGTCTGTTCTTAGACCGCTTTGTGTCATTTAAATAAATGTCACTTTAAGACATTAAAACATTCCAAGTTTTAACGACAAAAAAACAGTCAAATAATGGGTCGAATGCCAAAAGAATGCTAATTAAATGTCTATTAATGGCGTATTAAAAGGCATTTAATTCGCCATTAATCATACCATTTCCGACTTCCTGGGTTTGTAGCTGAAACAAAAATTCTTAACTGGTCCATATACTGAGGTATATTTTTCGCTATATGAATATGAGAAAAGTGCACTTTCCACTTTTGGGCAAGTATCTACATCGTTGCTCACTATAAAGAGAGGTTGACAACGATACTCCACAGTATTCTACTGGTGGGAGCGAATAGGGCCAATATACCATCCTACCATAACATCCTTTGATCTACTACAACGGAGAAAAACAATAGATCAGTATTTGAAACAACAGTTTGGTCAATTTCTTTATCATTTTATAGCAATTTTATTCAAAAAAATTTATTATATACGTCTGTTATCAACCTTTTTTTTCCAAACGAAGTAAAATAATAGTAGCAAGATACTCAAAAGTATTTAAAGTGTTTCCGAACATGTTAGGCAAAACTAACTTCAGTCTTTTGAATTACCTACTCTACTGTTCGTTCAACTATCATATACTTGTTTACAAACAACTAATGAATGGTTCTCTAGATAATTAATACTTACAATAAATAATAACTCAAATCTTAATCAGAGGCTATCGAACCCCAATGGATAACACACCACCAACAAGAATATTGTGATTGAAGTTTGGATAATGAGCAGAGAAGTGGACTTATTAATTGTGCTGCCTGATTGTTTTGGTGGTCCGACTGCTGTCTTATTATATTTTTGAATCAATGGTTCTTCATCTTTAATCAGATACTGCGTTCCATTGGACGGTTTCTCATCTGTAACAGGAACGTATTTTACAACCGACGATTCTCCATCTCTATTGGGATGTGTTCGATCCGACGAATCTTCAGTTGTATCAGGATAATGTTTCCCATCGGACGATTCTTCACGTGTATCGGGATGTTCTCCATCCGACGATTCTTCATCTGTGCCGGAATGCTTCTCATCTGACGATTCATGTGTATCAGGATGTTCTCCGTACACATCGGCATGTTTTCGACTGTATGGTTTTACATCCGAAGAATCATAGCAATCGCCATGTTTTCGACTGTATGGTTTATCATGCTACAATTCATACGAAAAGACAGATTTACTACTGT